TCATCCGGAGAGCTGGTAGTCGGCCGGATAACCTCTGAGCGTTCGCTGACAACGTCAAAAGTTCTAGGGTTTTCCAAATGGAAGTCATCTTCGAAATACACGCTGGGAACTGTGGAAATGGGAGTTGGCGCATGTAGAGCTCTTCTTCCACTACTCGACTTTTTCCGAGCCGATCCCGAGGGAGTTTCCAGCGATGCAAGAGAAGCCAGAGAAGACTTTCTAGAAAGTTTTGGTGTCCGCACGTCAAAGTCTAGGATATCCGCAAAATCGTCCGCTTTGTTGCCTTTCCGTAGCAATTGAGTTCCCCCCTCTTCCTCATTCTCTTTCGCTCTTTGTAATGCATCATAAGTTGCCCCTACCTGGGTTAAATACGACTTAAATTCCGAAGGGTCGACATGGGGTATATTTGTGAGAGTTACTGGGGGTATATCTCGAGCCGTCGGAGGTTTATGTGCACTCGATGCGGGGGCAGAAGTGTGGGGAATGAGACCAGTTCGAACGATCGGTGGTTGGAGTAAAGTAGATATAGCTTGCATTTGTTAGTTTCTTCGTTTCCCCATCCGTTCTCAAAACATACCATTCTGTCCAGATTCATTGAACCCGTGCCATTGTGAGACCGAATCCAATGTCCCCCCTATCGAATGTATCGAGCTGGCTGTTGACCCGCGCCTTGGATAAAGTCTGCTATTGGAGGAACCTGGTCTGCCAGTCATCAGCATTTTGATCTCACTTGGTTCTAGGTTGCGCAACAAACCTTGGGAAAGGATATTCATTCCGACCTCCAGGAGAAGTAGGGGAAAGATTCTCCACAGAAAACCGCGATGCCGGGGAATGATCCATTTCTAATTATGTATTGATCACCATACAACGAGCCTCAACCTCCCCCACAGCCGCGCAATCCCAATCTATAACTGGCAGCAACAGAGAAGCGAATTAAAAAGTGGCCAAGAGAAAGCCTTCCTTCAAACTATTTAATACAGGCCACGGAGGCGCATTCGTAAGCTATCTAGTAGTCAACACGAATTTGTTGACAAACCAATCGTTATGGGGGTATCATTGCTGGTAAAGGGAAAGCTGAGGGAAAGACTGTATCAGAATTGTCATATCGTAGAAGCGTACAAGTTGCATATTCATTACTTCATTGATTGTTCCATTTGTACGAAGGTTCATTGATGTTTCCGTTCTTTCAGCCTTCCGTTGATACAACGATATTCATTGTTATCACTTGATTGGTCTGTCGGGATGATGAGGCTGGGTCTCGAGGCTAGAGCTGGTGAGGTCTAAGCTGTGGCTAGTGAGCAATTCCATGTAAAACACTTTACACGAATCGGTCGCGTTCGAAAAAGGAGAAACGCGTCTTATCAAAAACCTCAGGATCTGCCCACTTAGCAACAGCAGGACAACAGATCAAATATCAACACTGCCAGTAGCCCCGCAATTTCATATTCAACACCACAAAAATATACCGACAATAAGATGGATCGTCAATCTGTATTTTCTCTGAGTGTTTTACCACCTGAGTATGGGGACAATGAAGATACAAGAGGTCAAGTGCAATCTCAACTAGAACAATTTATTCTTCAGTTCCGCATTGACAATGCCTTCATCTACAGGTAGCAAGCAATTCACTGTCTACGGTATATTGCTAATAATTCCACACAGAGATCAAATCCGAGAAAATGTTCTGCTAAAACAATACTTTTGCGACGTTGATGTTGGGCATTTGATATCCTTTAATGAAGAGCTTGCACACCGACTTGCGACAGAACCTGCAGAGATAATACCCCTTGTAACAAACCCCTCCACAGTATCCGCAAGCTATGTCTAACGCACACACAGTTCGAAAGCGCATTGAAGAAATGTACACATCGAATCGTATACCCCTCGGATAGAGACATTGTCCTTCCCGAACATCAACTCCTCCTTCACTCCACAGCTTCGGAGATTTCGATTCGAGACTTAGACGCCCTCGCCATATCCCGACTTGTACGGGTACCAGGTATCGTTATAGGAGCATCAGTACTATCCTCGAAAGCAACAGCACTAAATATACAATGTCGGAATTGTCGCTCTACAAAGATATTACCAGTAAATGGCGGGTTTTCTGGTGTTTCATTACCCAGAATGTGCGATAGACAAAAGATGCCTGGAGATCCACCTTGCCCTATGGATCCATATGTGGTTGTTCATGAATCTTCCCAATTCGTTGATCAACAAATTATTAAGCTTCAGGAAGCTCCAGATCAGGTCCCTGTGGGAGAACTGCCACGACATGTTCTTATTTCAACCGATAGATATTTGACAAATAGAGTGGTACCTGGTACGAGATGTATGATCACTGGCATCTTTTCTATTTATCAAAACAAGAACACGAAAGGCTCTTCTACAACTTCGGCTGTCGCCATTCGAACTCCATACTTGAGGGCAGTTGGTATCCATAGCGATGTCGATCACACTGCAAAAGGAAATGCAGTATTCTCGGAAGAGGAAGAACAAGAATTTCTCGAAATGTCACGCAGGCCTGATCTTTACAGTGTATTTGCTTCCTGCATTGCCCCATCTATTTACGGTAACAACGATATCAAAAAAGCCATAGCATGTCTCCTGTTAGGTGGATCCAAAAAGATTCTTCCTGATGGTATGAAGCTCCGTGGTGATATCAACGTTCTTCTTCTCGGTGACCCCGGAACTGCCAAATCTCAACTTTTAAAATTCGTCGAAAAGGTCGCTCCAATCGCTATTTATACTTCTGGAAAAGGTTCTTCAGCCGCTGGTCTTACTGCCTCCGTTCAACGTGATCACTCAACCCGAGAATTCTACCTCGAAGGAGGAGCTATGGTCCTTGCAGATGGAGGTGTAGTGTGTATCGATGAGTTCGATAAAATGCGCGACGAAGATCGAGTAGCCATTCACGAAGCTATGGAACAACAAACTATTTCGATAGCTAAAGCGGGTATCACCACAATTCTCAATGCACGAACTTCGGTTCTTGCTGCAGCCAATCCTATTTTCGGACGTTATGATGATCTCAAATCACCGGGCGAGAACATCGATTTCCAAACCACCATTTTATCGCGTTTCGATATGATTTTCATTGTCAAGGATGAGCACGAAAGAGGCAAAGATGAAAAAATGGCAAGGCACGTTATGAATGTTCACATGGGTGGTAGAGGAAGGGAAGAACAAGCCGAGTCTGAGATTCCAGTTGAAAAGATGAAGAGATACATCAGCTACTGTAAATCGTACGTATTACCCCTGAGAACCGATCCCCTATACAACTAGAACATACAAAACTAACATCCCGCAGTCGTTGCGCTCCACGTCTCTCCCCAGAAGCCTCAGAGAAGCTCTCTTCCCACTTCGTCTCCATCCGCAAACAAGTCCACGCCACCGAGATGACAACCAACGAACGCTCATCCATCCCCATCACAGTCCGTCAACTCGAAGCCATCATCCGTATCACCGAATCTCTCGCCAAAATCTCCCTTTCACCCATCGCGCACGAACATCACGTCGACGAAGCCATCCGTCTCTTCCTCGCATCCACCATGGACGCCGTCCAACAAGGTGTCGCGCAACAAGGAAGTCGCGAGCTCCAAGATGAAGTCGCACGATTGGAAGAAGAATTAAAGAAGCGATTGCCTGTCGGCTGGAGCACCTCTCTCGCAACGCTCAAGCGCGAAATGTGCGAGGGAAGAGGCTTTAGCGAGATGAGTCTCGAGAGGGCATTGGTCGTGCTGCAGAGAAGAGATACAATTGCCATTAGAGGACAAGGTAGTCAGGTTTATAGGAGCGGCGCTTAGGATTAACGTTGTGAGCGTGATATTGATGTCTACATGAATGAATACCTTTGCGTTTGGCGTTTGGACGAAAGAAAGAAAGAAAGAAGGAAGGAAGGAAAGAACGAATATCATGTTATTTAACGAACGCATTGGATGCGAAGGAACGTCTCTAGCGTCATACCTATCTACCTAGGTAGTCTCTAGTAATTATATCAATATCAATACCAGATACCCCTAATTCGAGTTTATTTACCATTCGTGAAATTTTACTTACAGGAGCTTTCAACCAGAAAAAATACTATCTGTCAAATCGACCAACCTTCCACCCCCATCAGACGAGAGAATACCTACACCAATCCATCCATCCACCCATTCATTCATTTACATTCACCCATTTCCTCCGAACAAAGTTTCCCTTTCTCAACACATACAAATTCATAAACTATAGCACTTACTGCTAAAACCCCGCCTACACGACACGACACGACACGACACTGCTTCATTACACGAACTCACCATCCCATCCCACTATTGTGTCATATATCCTTCTCATCATTTACACTTCGCGTACACCTAACTCACTTTATCTCATTCTGAATGTATACTACTCAATTCGGCTTCATTCATCACCTTAATAGCCCGAACTATAAAACCCAAAGCGTATTTTACTTCGCCCATTGTTATCCTAAAAAAACTTCCGACTTCACTCCCTAGCCTCTTATCTTACCTATGTACGACAGTGTCACATGTAAACTTCTGATACGGGGATGACACCAGATACCTACAGTTATTATACGATAATAAACTTATCGTCAATACGTCAATCACCATATTTTATCGTGAATGCAATGATTTTTAGTCACAATGCCGAGAAGTATAAAGTTTGAAGTTCGAAATTTCATTTGTATTATTTTTTGGTATAAAGTAAAGATCCATTGTATCCGAACGACTATAGTATATGTACCTGAGAATTGAATTTTGTATTATCGAGGACGTGACATGAGCAATATGAGCAACTTTGTTTTGAGTTCCAAAAAGATCCGATCCGCCGATAGCTAAAGAAAAGAAAAGGGAAATGGGAAGCGTGCTAGCCATACCCGTGAAAATGATTGTGTCCTTTACTCCTCCGCCCTCCTTCTAGATACCCTATCTAGATACCAGTGATCTCGTTATCGTTAAAATTTTCCGAGAGATAAGAAATAGTCATGATCATGAAGCCTACAACAAGAAGGCTGCGATACCTGCAACGGCAAGAGCTCCGAAACTAGCATCAACCTTGATGGCAGCACCAGTGAATTGAGCTGGGCCGGTTGTGGTAGCAGTGCCAACAGTAGCAGGTGTGGAGGCCAAGGTGGTAGCTTGAGAAGGAGTTACAACTGGGACAGTAGCAACTGGAACGCTAGCAACCGGTGTCTCTTGAACTGGAACACTAGCGACAGGGGTCTCATGAACTGGGACACTGGCAACTGGGGTCTCATGAGCTGGGACACTGGCGACGGGGGTCTCGTGAACTGGGACACTGGCGACGGGGGTCTCGTGAACTGGAACGCTAGCGACAGGGGTCTCATGGGCTGGGACAGTAGCAACTGGAACGCTAGCAACTGGTGTCTCATGGACTGGAACACTGGCGACAGGAGTCTCATGGACCGGAACGCTGACAACTGGTGTCTCATGGGCTGGGACACTGACAACTGGAGTCTCGTGAACTGGAACGCTGGCGACAGGGGTCTCATGAACTGGAGTGCCAACGGAAACTGTGACAACTGGGATGGTGACAGTTCCCGGAGCAGTGATTGTGTGAGGAACTGAGCTGACAATAATTGTAGTTGCTTCAGGACAGTATGTAGTCAAGTAAGATACGATGATGGTACTTGGAGTTGGCTTGACCGAAGGAACAGGTGTAAAATACACAGGAGTGCCAACGGAAACTGTGACAACTGGGATGGTGACAGTTCCCGGAGCAGTGATTGTGTGAGGAACAGAACTAATAGTGATTGTGGTTGGTGCAGGGCAGTATGTAGTCAAGTAGGATACGGTAATAGTACTTGGAGTTGGCTTGACAGAAGGGATTGAAACAACTGGGACAGTGACGGTTCCTGGGGCGGTAATCGTATGAGGAACGGAGCTGATAGTGATTGTGGTTGGTCTAGAGACGTATGTAGTCAAGTAAGATACAGTGGTACTAGTGGTTGGTTTGGCAGTTGGAACACTTGAGGTGTAACTGACTGTGCAAGGGCTATTGAGATAGAGTTAGTAAGGCTCAGATATATCACATGAGAAAAAAAGAACGTACCACTTAGTGACAGTCAAGGTTGTGGCTGATGAGACGGTGTAAGTGAAGTTACCGATGGCAACGGTGGTGGGAGATGGGCAATAAGTGGTGTAGCTGCTGACAACTGTAGTGGTCCAGACGACTGGTGTAGTCTTCGGAGGGGTTGAAGAAGTAGAGAATGTGTAGTTTCCATGAGGAACAACAACAGTGGTCTTTGGAGGCGCTGAAGCAGTTGAAGAAGTCTCATTGCCATGAGGAGGAACAACGACGGTAGTCTTTGGTGGCGCTAAAGAAGTAGAAGACGTGTAGTTTCCATGAGGAGGAACAATGACAGTGGTCTTTGGTGTAGCACTGGACTTGACACTGCTCTCGCTTGAAGATGGGTTGGTTGGGACTGAGGTGCTTGATGGATGTGGCTTGCTCACGGTGCAAGGGCAGTCGGTAATGACCAAAGTAGTTGACTTAGTGACAGTGTATGTCTGGGTTCCAAAAGTTAGTGTAGTTGGAGTGGGGCAAACGGTTGTAAGAATGTCGGTGGTGTAAGTGGTCCATGTTGTGTGCTCGGTCTCTGTTGGCTTGACGGGCTTTGTGGTTGGTCCAGTGCTAAGAGGAACAGTTGGATGACTGGTGGTGACCGAAGAAGCGCTGCTGGCAACACTCGATGAAGCTGGAACAGATGGAATAGAGCTGCTTGGTTTGGTTGACAAGGATGCTGGAACAGTTGGAACAGTCTTATCAATGGTGGTAGAGTATGTGCAAGGGCTAGATTGCTTCGTCAGTACTTTGATCAAGGCTTTCTCGACTTGATGGGTCAAAAGAACATACCAGTCAGTAATGGTCAAGGTAGTAGAGGCAGTGACGGTATAAGTATTTGTCCCCATGGAGAAAGTAGTGGGGTGTGGGCAGACAGTTGTATAGATATCAGTAGTGATAGTCTGGAAGAGAAGGGGTGTCAGCATGTGCAATCTGGTGGGGCAGGAAATATCAACTGATATCAATGAAGAACCATAGGAAACTAACCGTATACGCGATATTGGTACCATTGGAGTACTTTTGACCGTTGACTACGGCAAGAAGCCCGAAGGCTGTGAGAAGCGATTGGAATGTCTTCATATTTTCTTATTTTCTCTTCAACGACTGTGATTGTGTGATTACAATAACGAAAGTGGGACGGTATTAAGATATTATGTTGATGGAGGGGGAGTCTGAAAGATGAGATTGACGTAACAAAACCTGAACGAGTGTGGTTATTGTTGATGTGTGATTTGAGGGAGGAAGAAAAAAAGGTAGATGAAGATGGGATGTAGAGTTCATTAAGTAGTTGGTGGACTTCTATGCAAGCAGGCAGGTACGAGTGGCATGCATGCATTAGTCTTCTTTTTTCTTCTTCTTCTCTTTCTATCTTCTGCTCACTTCACTCTGACATTTAGTCACTCGGGACAAGATTATGTCAAAGGTGAAGTCTGGTACTAAATCGGTAGGTACGAAGGTCGGTACGAAGGAAAAGTTGCCTACCTGGTACTGGAGGCATGGAGTAGTGTAGATAGTGCTAGGTAGGTACTAGGTAGGTACTAGGCAAGTACTACGCAAGTACTACACATGTGTGAATGGGGAAAGAACGACCATCCATCCGGCTTGCCTTGCCTTTCTTTTCCTACCAAGGTATTCCGTATTGGCGCCTCATTCAGAGTCTCTGGCAAAGTCCCACCGCCACCTTTGAAGAATGATCCAATCGAAGCATTTGCCGTGTGATGCTCCATACTACTATGTTGTGCTATCAACGTATCAAGGTATCAATCTTCATCCCTTCCCTCCACCACTCACCACTCACCACTTGGGAATACGTTTTAAGTTTTAAGTTTGGATCTAATCTTTACGAGCTTCGATCCTCCACAAATGAAGAAGTAACTACTGCACATGCTGCATGTGCCTACTGGCTTGGTATGCATCTACAAGTGGCTGTACTTGGATGATGAATGAGAACGATGAGGGTGGAAATGCTAAGGAAAATCGAGAGGAAAATCGGAGTACTTTTGATTCTTAGTATACTGAGATGTGTGGAAACTTCGTACATACGCCCCAATAAGACATCAACGGATTACCAACTACGCAAACTAGATAACGATGTGGCTCTGATTATCATTCATTCGATATCCAAGACAAGAAAAGAAAGCACTCCAGGTCCGGAATACGATGCTATGGGTTGATACGATGATATGATAACGATGATGATGATGATGATGGCCGGGATGGTATAAAAAATGACACGAGGAAAAAAGAAAGACTGAAATCTTTCTTCCGGATTCCGAACCATGTCTCATTCGACTTTTTGCTCGCCCACTACTCTGCATTGGATGTTCTTTCCACTTTTCCCCCGACTTCCAAAGTCAATTTTTCCGCGCTTGAAAATCCACCTGTACGCTCAGATCTGCGTCATTGGTGAGCTTGATCGATAGGATATCTATTTTGATCCGAAGGTTCAGTCCAACACGAGAAACTTTCGACTCCCAAGCATTTGGAGAAAAGAAATTCATTTACCTAGCTACTTGACACCTTTTACGCCTATGGCTATCCAGTTAGCAGAAGTAACGACTTCTGCGTCCTAATTCTTACTTTAGAAGTTATTCCGAAAGTTACACCCTTTTCATTCGTTGACAGCTTAGCACCTGGATATTTCTCGTACTTTCTATCATCTCTTGGCCAATCGCTGCGATGATACTTACTCAATGGCTTCACATGTACCTGACTACTTGCGACGGTCATCGATACTGACATGGCGGACAATGTTTTGATAGCAATAGTGTGAGCTTGATGCGGGCCTTTACAAGTTTACACGTTGAAAGGTGGTTAAACTTCTTCGGCCATGACTTGATTGGGTTGTTCTTAGGTCGCGCCCTTTTCCCTTCTTCTTAGACTCCAGGTCCCAAATTTCTAGTTGCCCTGGGTAAGTGGTGATAGCCGTCAATGCGAAGAGACCAGATGTATACTTAAGCATAAGTTACAAGTACGATAAGTGGATGATGAGAACTCTAGGATAATCGTGAACTTGAACAATTGGAATGAGAGAAGGTGAAAATCTTGTTAGATCGTTATCCATCCCCGGTAACGATTAGCGGAAAAGCTCGTCTCTTTTTGGTCGTGGACTCGTGGGGGTGCCCGTTTGCTGGAATCAGCACTCCGATAAGATATTGTCTCCAGCAGGACGGAAACCCCGGGACGCCAAAAATAAACACTCTTTTCAAAATTCGATATCATTTCAGACAACCATGTGTTTGATACCAAAATACGATGCATATCTATTTATAAGCCTTCACATATCACATGGTATATGTTCTTCCAATTGAAATATACGTCGATACCATAGTGAGGAAATAAAGTATAAGTGTTTTCAATGTGTGAATTTACTTGAGTGATTGAGCGTACGGCCTTCTTCATCCATGTGGAGACTAGGCATGTAGTTTGCCAAGCATGTTATCTGCTAAGAAATCGTGGATGTGAGAATACGAGAAGATGGTGAAGTGACATCGATCCTAACAAATCAGGAAATCGCTGAGTTCAACGTACCATTCTTCCCGTGTCAAGCTTCATGCAAGAAGAAATGTCAACACGGTATGTCATCATTATCGTTGGCTTGCTAATGCAATGTTATCGATAGATGCATTCGCCATAAAGATGGAGACATGAAGTGGGTTTGGTGATATGGGGAACACAAGGTCGAAGGTTCACGTAGGGCTGGAGGAGCCTGGAGAGCAAAACTTGCTCTCAAACATTTAGTAAAGCGTTTATTTAGAGTATTGAAGGGATTTCAACGACACTTCCCACTGCTTCTAGACCACAAATTCGGCTTGTAGAAAGAGTGAAGATCTTTCCAAATACCCGAACCTAGATCACACTCTTTACATGGATTGGAGCAGCAACACCGCAAGATTCTGATTCTGACGTCAAGTGTGTGTTTTTTGGTGGACACTTCCGTTCTGATTGATTTCGGTCCGACATAACACGAAGATCAGGACGAATGACAACAGCGAGTGTAAAAAGCCCAGAGTGCTCTCGGACGACGTCCAAAGATTGGTCCAAGAATATTCCGCCATCGGGATGGATTGCCAAGTCGATTCGCTCCTAGGAGACCAACAAACTATCGTTTTTCATCGGGAACAGCCCACATCACGGCGCGGACATCTATTTTTGTCATATCCTGGCTTGATAATCAGCCTGCTGTAGGTGTTGGTCGGTAGTAAGTAGAAATACGACACGATCATGCCACACGAGAACATATGTAGCGAGCCGTCAACGGACAGCGGATATAATCATCTACTGTGGTCCCATCTTTTGAAAACGAAGAAACTATCAGTCCAATGGTTGCCTCGTCGATCCAAAAAAAAATGGCATACTATGTCTTCACATGTCATCAAGTGTCTTCGAGTACGGGGCATGAGTTTGAATAGGTAATACCTTCGCTGGCCACTCCGGTATACGAACTATCATCCATGATACCCGTGATCCAATCTCGACATTTCGAGAATTTCGAGCCATAAGAATAATTCCGTTTTGCACATTTTCGCCGATATCTGAAGCTTTCTCTCTCAAAGACTTCGAGCCCTTCTTATAAATTCAGTACAACGCCGTTGACCTTACATTACGCGTTCACACGAGGATGGCATTCGTCCACAATCTAAACTTCACATGCAGCCACGCAAGTCATGTTGTTGTCTAATACCATCACAGATTTTAGCTATACCACCATACAATCCCTCACACGACCATGTAATTTAGCACAGTATGGGAAAAACATCACCTTTACCCTCTACGCTGCACAGAAACTTCCTGTCAAAACCTCGGCGCAATGATTTTTCTCGCAGGCCCCAAAACATATCAATCTCTCCAAAAACACCAATTACTTCTTCAAGTTTTTCCAGGCATACATGATGACAATTCTGATTACATTCCCAATGCTACAAGTCTACAACTACCGGTATTGTATTGAATTCTTAACAATCCAAAGTCCAGAGTCCAGACTCTCTGTGGGCGCAGCAATGAACTACAGCACGGCCTGGAAATTCAAGAACGGTGTTTGTAATTGTCGATCCCGATTTGCATTACTCGATTTATGCACCTCATCGGCTTAACATAAATTATCAGCACAAATGTCTCCACCTTCATTAAGCCTCCTCGCCTCGTCGGGGGTAAAGGAGAGACCTTGAAAAGTTTTCTACTTAGAGTTTTCTTTTCATCCTTCCCAATTCGTGGTAGTCCCATTGTCATGGAGACTCCCTCGGAATCTTCCACCTGTTTAATAAGCTCGTCAACAAGCTTTTAGGTCAAACATAAATCCGTCTCACACTTTTCTCGTTGTGGGATTTTTTCTTCACTCAGGTCCGCATTATGTGACGTATACTGGGGCGTGAGGACGAGAAGATCTTTGCAAATCTTTTCATCTAGATTCTATGGCAGTCGATGAAGGATAAATGAATCCAGAATACCTATACGAGACTCCGATAGGTCTGGGATAGAGCCGTTCACCGAGTTCCCAAATCAGTTCCTCAGTCCGTATTAGACTATCGTATATTCACATGAACGAAATGAAGCATGTCTACATCCACGTCTCCGTGATTTAGCCACCTAAGGTTACACAGGCAAGCAAATCATATTCGGCCATTACCCATATGCTTCAATCTGTCACCAACCAAAGCTCCCGACCCTATCTCCTTCACATGCCAGTTTGCAAAAAGAAAAAACGGATGCCCAAAAGCGGTGTATTCTTTCACGGTTAACCCAAGTGTGCGGGAAGCACCTCCGTTCAAGAACACGTCCAGACTCCAGCAGGGCAGCATAGTAAAATCTAGATCATGAATCGCTACTTTCCCCGGGGATCCTACCGTAACTCAATCCGAGTGGTTGCTTCTACGGAAAGCCTTACTCAGCAATCGGAAATTACGATAGGCAGTTCATGGTTTCATCGCTTAATCTACCACATGTCGAGCCCCGCTATTACGCCGGTGCTCTGGTTTGAGACTTTGAGAATAGTTTGGTTGTTGATCTCTTCATGGTTGTTTGTTATTTCGGAATCCTGAGCTTGCCATACGGATTGTTTCTGAGATATCGAGCATTGATTGAGGATTCTTTTTTACCCTACTTTACATTCATACTGTACGCTTATGAGGGAAATATGTGGGGTTGGTGTTGTATCAAATGGAGTCAGAGAATCAGGTAAGTAGAGAGGTGTGCATGTTGTGATCGACGTAATGATCCAGTGATGCGTGGAATTCGAATCAATAAACGTGGGAATTACTGAATAATCCTCATGCCTTATGGATAATACAGAATTGAGTTTTACAGGTTGCACAATAGATTCGTGGCAGTCGGTAACTCGTGAAGTTGGATTGTCAATTAGACAAAAGAGATTTCTCGATTTTTAGAATTTTTTTCTCAGCCCCTGGCGCAGGCCCTAAATGCAGGCCTAAATGCATGGGCGTCCGATTCCTTGCGGGTTCCTGGGACTACTGCAAGGGCAAGCGAACCCTTATGGATACTCACATGTGTTTGTTCCATAGGGATTGCTGTCCTATGGCGTAATGTGTAAAGAGTTTGTGCGGGAATTACATGATTACTCGATGCAATTGATAATTGAGGTACAGGATGTCAGGAACTCGCAACGCACATGAAGTTGACTAAAATTCTGAATATTACACGACATGTGCAGGTACTGCAGTCTGCAGTCTGCAGTACACATATGTAAGTTGCTGTCGCAGCAGCTCTTCTCATCAGCCAATCTACTCAAAGTCACCCATAATAATTGAAACAGTGAACAGACTTTTCTATACGGCTCATCCTTGCTAACCGTACACTTCCGCTGCCATCCTAGATAATATCAGGTGAATATCGTCCCCGCTATCGAATTGCCGCCCCTTTTGCAAGATATAGACAGACCTTGTAATGATGTTGTCCAGAAAGGCTTTCAAAGTTACAAGGTTACAAAGGTCGAGAACAATTGGGACAATAGTTTATTATTCGTGTGACGGTGTCTACCCACCTCGAGTTTCCAACGACTCCGAGATGTTTGAACAATCTCGATTCCGTGATTTACCCATTGCCATTGTATTACGACATCTCCTTGGCCAAATGCTTCGATATGCTGAGTTTTCTGGTTGCGAGGTAACAACCCAAAGAAGTAATATCTCGATACTTGCATCAGTCAGCCGTTCATATCATGACTGGCCACTGCAGGAAAACCCTTTCACGGAATCAATTTTCCAAGCACAAACACGGATAATTTGACAAATGACTCAAGCTCCAAGAAATTGGGGTCTAGAATATCTTACCCATCCTATCATTATACTTGAAAGAGGAAAACACTGGCATCAAGAGTTGCTATTACAGATATGAATCATGGAAACAAATATGGTAAAGTTCATTGGCTACTTGGATTACAAAGACATTCTCCACACAGAGACGACTACCAAATAAACTTTCGAGTTTCCGCTACGCATGCCCTACGCATCGGCTGCCGTTAAGATTCAGGAACATACCCCAACAATCCAATCAAAGCGTAGTCGCATCAATCCATTGACTCCATTCTTCCCACCAAAGGAAAATTCTCAATCTCGCCAAGGCTAGTTCTCCCGAGTCTCAGATGCCAGTAGCTTCCTCATAGGGTTTGGTGGCGTGTTTACGAATTTTGTCTGGCGTGGCCGCCTCCAATAGCGGAATGTGGAAAGTGTACGGAGTATGCACCCTGAGAAGAAGCAAACGTTCTGGATGCATTTTGTTTATTCGGTTCCGACTGAACTACTTCTGGCTGACATGGACTCCACAATTGCCGTAGCTTGGGCTGAGCAAGCCTGAGCTAAAGCGTAAATGTCCGCGCTGGCGTTTTTCCTGATTGAATCGTGGTGCCTTAGTCGTGTCCCCTGAATTTACACTCAGTCGTCTGTCTATATAATCCGCTGTACCTCCATTTGTGTTTCTTTCTTTCCTTCATCCACGACGTTGTCAACAAGAGTTCACTCATTCCTTTAAGTTACTCAAACATTTCGATCTGAGATCGCACTTGACTTTACAGTCACTTCACAGCTTCTACAGTCAGCTCAACAGCAAAACTTGTCTCTACGACACCAGAACTTTTCAGTCTTGACGACTTTGACAATCTCGATTCATATATTCGATCCAAAACTCTCACTGCCCAAAGAAGTAACCAGTTTAAATTGACCAACTTAAAGTAAAGCCCAGTCTTACTTTACCCCAGCCAATCCTTACCAAGTCAAAAATTTACATAAACACATCACTCAAAATGCAATTCGCTACTTCCATCCTCGCTGTTTCCGCAGCTCTCGCTACCATTGTTTCCGCCGGTACCGTGCACTTTGTCAACCAAGACAGCACCACCCGTACCTTGGTCTTCACTCCCACCTCTGGCTGTGCTGAAATCGCTTCCCTTACCGTTTCAGGCGATTCCACTGCCGACCAAACCTTCCCAACCGGCTGGATTGGCAACTGGTACTCAGTCTCTGATGGCGCCGACAACACTTCCGGTATGCTTGGTGAAGTCTGCTTCGATTCCTGGGGAGGCATGACCTACTTCGATGTTTCTGCTATCGTCAACCCAGACGATGTCAATGGTGTCAAGGAGATGTTCCCATTGAACACCGGTACTCCTCTCTCTGGTTGCCAATCCTTCCCTTGCGACAACGCTTACAACCTTCCTGACGACGTCCAAACCCAAGCCACTGATTCCGACGCGCTCGTCTGTCTCCTCGGTAACCTCGCTACCTCCAAGCGTGAGACCAGATCCAAGGTCGGCAAAGAGTTCGTCACCGGTGGAGGATCTGCTTAGATTCCTCACGGTGAAGTTCATTCTTTGTCTTGGTAGTCGAGAAGGTGCAAGGAGATGTACATACCGACCGGTCTCACATACCAACACATACATTACATTACATAAATACATACGAAAAGCAAAGAAACAATGTACGTCAGCGCCGCAAAGCGTGCTGCGATGTGGCATACGAAGTTTATGATGGTTCTATCATGAGGATATACAAAAGGATACACGGACGGACGGACAGGACGGAACGGACCTCCTGATTGGACAGGCGGGACGGCTTACGGATTGGGTTGTGGTGTATTGGCGTGGGATTACCCTTTTTTTATCTTGGGAACCCTTCTTTCTTGATTTTTTGGAAGCTCGTGTTTCGATTCGATTCACTCGCTTTTCTATATAGACTTTTTCTTTATATATCACTCACGACTTTAAAAGTTATGTTTTTTCAAATGGTGGTTTGAGAAGATGTGGGGATGAGGGGATGATTTTACTTCTTTCTTTCTTTCTTTCTATCCACTTCTTGGATTTGGATACAATTAAATACTCATTCTTTTGATCACATAATTGTTTTTTTGTATGTGTATATGCTTATGTGTGTGTGTGTGTGTGTGTGTGTGTGTGTAACGTGAAATCCAAATCAATGTTTTCCCTTTTTATTCCATTCCATTCCATTTTATTTCATCTCAAGACGAAGTTGACACTCGAGCGGATTACCCCACCAGTTCTGAACGCGAAAAGTGGGATGAGATGAAACTCGAGAGCACTGGGAAAACCCTGGAAGCTGTGGATGAATCATTCTTGCTGGTTGGGTCCTGAGTGCTGAGTTCTTGGTTTCTTGGTTTTCATCCCGCTCCTCTGGTTTGAACGCTGCTTCAAAGGTCTTGATTCGTTCGTTCGCTCGGAGTTTGGATGTTTGGATGTTTGGAGGGTTCCCACATTTATTGTTTTGGTGGGGGTGTGTGTGTGTGTTAGGTGATTAAGTAATTGTCTACTAGGTAGGTAACGGGGTTATTAGTATGAGAGATACATACGAGGTAGGTGCGAGGGAGAAAATAGGTGTGGTTTTATTGGTTGATTGATGCGTTGTTGTTTATCCACTTGGTTGAGGTACTAGGAGGGTACTAGGAGGGTACTGGGTAGGTAGGAAGATGTCACTGCTGATTGAGAAATAGAATTAGAAATAAGTTGTGGTCTAGAATTTATATCTAGATTTAGATGGTTGACGGGGTGTTTGGGGTTTTATACCGAGGGGTGTCCGAGGGGTGCGGGAGGGGAAAGCGGGAGGGCGGGAGTCTAAAGGGAAGGGTGATGGATGTGAGTAAGTTTTGCTTGGAGCTTTGTGGTGGGTTTGGGATGGATGGATGGAGATGTAGAATTAACGGGTGTGTTATTCATGGATGGATGGACGAATGATCTTGAAGAAACAAATAGGAAAACTCGGGATCGATTGGATGAGTTGAGAGCCTTTTAGACATGAAGTTTAGTTTGATATTTGATATTCAATCTCTGATTCTCTTTGGTGTGTATATCAGTGAATGTACGTCGCACGTGCGGACGGACTGATGGAGCATGGAGAAATTGATGTATAATTAGCGATTCCTCTTGAAATGTTGATTTGGATATCTGAAGATTGTGGTAATGATTTATCTAGATTGAATAATGGAATGGCGGATTCTGATGCCGTGTAATTTTTGGAGAATGAAATTATTAAACATTTTGAAAATTGAGAAGTATCCTGTTGGTTTATGTACCCACTCACTGGTGGTTGTGTCATTGAGGTTCTTCATGATGTTAAATGTGATGGAATTTGATAGCTTCGAAGTACTTGCTTGTAATTGTGCATTTGAACTTTTTGGTCTTGCGGTTCTTCTTTAGCGTTAGTTGCTGATAGGAGTTACCTGGGAGTATAATGTAGTTAGTTAAAATAGTGAAAAGCTCACATGCGTCTGGAATTGTCTCGAGTGGGTGTCAAACTTGGGCATGTTAGGTGAAGGTTGTTAGAAGGTCTAAAGGGAGATAGACCTCTTATTTATCAAGTCACTTTGCTTCCTGTTTACTGTGGTTTGGATCTGATTTGATATCTGTGAAAGTGTGTCTTGGTGCTTGTTGGAGACCGGCACACTATCCAAGCCGAACAATTCTTCTACTATCAAGAGGACACCATTAAATAGACAGGAAAACATCGAATCCTCTACCCCTGCTTCGCGTTCTTTTGCTACTTGGCGAGGTCGATCGCGGCATAAGTCGTAGAGAGCGAGAGTCCGCTCATCCTCAGTAGCATACGACATTCCAACCTCACCACAACATGAACAAACGCGCCCGTCGATACTCTGAAACTTTATAATGTTTTCCTCTCGCTCCTGCAGTATATCTTCGAAGCCACTGGAGAAGTCGCTTCCGGCTTCTAATTTGTCCAATAGAATCTCCCAAGACAACTCTCTACCGTATTTATAAGGAATACAGCAAGGACTCCTTAGGTACATAATCCAAATTAAATACCGCGTGGAGACTTTGCATAGTTCAACCAGCCGCGATGACGGGGCCCCGCTGTATCTCATTGCATACGAATTTAGCTATGTCTACGCCGAGGTTTTGCAAAGTGGTCTTGAGCCGGAAGAATGCTGCTGATGACTGTAAGAGAAGTGCCGTTATCGTGCCCTGGTACTCTACTTCGGGACGCTTCGGAATGATAGAAGATAGCATGGCTGATGAGCTATGAAAATCCATACGGTAACTCATCATGCAACGAATAAGATGTGTTTGATCAGATTCTCTAAGGTTCCTCACGAGACAACGCCCTATAGCTGACGCGAACCAATCTTCCCTTATATCATGAGGACAAGAACGGAAGAGATGATCAATCATATATATATCCTCAAGCTTCATTGCAGAAATTGAGGTAGATTAAAAAAAGTCACTGAGATTGGAAGTGAGAATCAACTGATCTTGAAGCATTGAAGCAGGCCCAAAAAAAGTTTTCGGTCGGCTACCAACCGAGTGGTGTCTACGAGTCGACGCAATCCGATCACTCCAGAAGAATTCGGGTCCTCGCTGACTTCGAATTGTTCGATAAACATTCGGAGGACTTCGATCCAAACATCGCAAGGCACAAAGACCCGATTCTTACTGTGTGAAAAGCCGAAGGGAACTCCTCTGCTCTTTCCATGATCGAAAGACCACGTTCCACATACGTATGACTCAAGATCACTATCAATACATGTCAGACGTATGATCGACCCAAACTGTCATTGCCAACCAGGAGAGATATTCAATTTACTTGTTTTGTATATTCCGAACTTCCAAATCAGCTCCTTCGTCGACGAGAAATTTACATATTGATAATTGCCCAGCGGATGCTGCTATCTAGAAATTACATCAGCATGAGATACGATGAGCCGCCCGAAGCTGTTTCATAGATCATTCAGAAGGGGTTGGCGCCGTTAATAAAGCTATATAGATGGTCGACTAACTCTCATCATGTGTGGTAAAATTGTTTCCGAGCATGGAGGTAAGAAAGACCTACCGCCAAAGGAGTTCTACCATAAGAATCAGTATCATGTGGAGAAGCAAGACCTTCATCGAAGAGACATCGAATGACATCTATGCGCCCGTCTCTACAGAGTCTGAAGATTGACGAATCGTCCCGAACCGTTCTGTGTGCTTTTAATTCGGGTTCGAGGGTCCCGTACGACCTCGAAAGAGCAACTCCAATTCCGAGGCGGACACCGCATAGTTGTGGCAAACGAGAGGGGTGCATGATCAAGTTGGTGAGCGACTTGTAAGTGTTGTCTGCGAACGATAAAGTAGTGATGCAGATATCAATTGTTCCAAAAGGTGTGTTAATGTTAGAGAGGCTGCACTCTAAATTGCCCAGAAAAGCAGACTTTCTCCGCAGGCTTCTCTCAGTGGGGGTTGACTATTTAGAAAATGCTAAATCCATGACTCTCTCAAAGCCGAGCCTCACGACAGGCTTTTCGGTACTGCATGCAAGAGCTTGAGCTTCCACCTTTAGTGCATCGAAGTGTACGTTGCTGCCTGGTGGATCTCTTGATGCGGTTTCAACGCTTTTTGAGGTCAGTTCCTGCAGATCGAGCTTAATGCCATCCACCATATTCATGAGCTGCTGTCAAGTAAGAACATTCGATATAGCACGTAAGTTCTTGCATATCATTTGAAACTCACGAGAGGCTTCTTGAACAGATTCCCAAAGTGTATATGCTTTCTTGATACCGCCTGCAAGCTGAATGGCAAGGCTGAGAACCGAGATCACACTCGACACCTGGGCAAGCACATCCATGACGCAAGGGGCTGAGTAGGATGATGTCCACTTAATAGCAATAAATGAAGCAATTAAAGTCGCTTGTACCACTTGTAACAATCAATATCAGTAGCATGAATCAACAAAATCTGCTACGGTTGGAGTGGAAATCTTAATTATAAGATAGACCAGACTCGATGTAATCCTGAAGCGAACAGATGCAGTCGGTTGATGGCTATACCATTTCTCTTGCTGAAAATCAGCCACTCGTATGTCCGCGATAATTGTACGAATACGGGGTCTAAGGTAGGCATAATCCACTGCCGGGCTGCCCCGCACTCGAGCACTTCCTTGAAAACCAGCTGGAGGAGGAGAGGAGAACATTGAACTTCCCATTGGTACTTATCGAGCCTTCGCAACGATACTATACCGCGGAACTTCTATGGGAGTTTTGTTGCACGTGTATAAGTGTGCGTGGCCTGGCTTTGACTGGTATTCAGAAGTGTGTGCTGAAGTTGTGTTTAATACAGCACGACTCTGAATATTTGAGCACCAGACAAATTATGTAATCAAGGACCAAACGAGCAGAGCCTGGAAGCCTTGCTCTCAAACGAGTAAACTTTGAACAATCAACATACTAACTATTCTTACCATTTTACAAAAAAGACTACAAGCTCCATACATATATTATTATTATTCGGGATAACATGCTGCAAGACGACGGGTTTTAGGAGAAATGAAGAATTAATCAAGGTTCTGCAAGGTAACGGTACAGTCTTTCTTCAAGATTTCGCCGCTTCTCAACAATCGCACATGCCACCGTATCGACATCGCAATAGGCATATTTCGAGACGATTGCCCCCTAGATCCTTCGATATATTTCTGTCCACCCCAACCGGCTGAACTTTAAATGCAACTTATGCCATTGACAATACTAGTCACAGCTCACACACTATCTTGGAATCGACAATGAGCAACATCTATGGTGGTATGTGATTTTTATACCGCGGCACCCAGTATCTACCATCTACCTCCATGCCCCTGCGTATGCCGACACTTCTTTCAAAATAGCCACGATAGTTTTCTATGCGATGGCTTCAGTTACTGTTCATGCGGTTAGCTTGGAAGGCTGAAGGTTGCTTTCACCCCTCACTAATAGTTGAACCTGCGGATTGATGGAAGTGGCTGATATTTATCGGCATGGGCAGACCACAGGATTATTTGTGAACATGCCATACCTAATGAGTCCTTGATATGCTTGAACGAATTCTCTACACGCAGATCCCGACACCAGCACTTTTGATATCTGCAGGATGTCAAATAGTGGTTGTTATTTTAACAAGGCTGGAGTTGGCACATGTCTTACCGTTAAATGCCTCCCTGGATTATGATTAGGTCTTCTTATGGTCCTATGCCGGTTGGATCTATTTGATTCAAAACAAGAACTGGTCTACACATATTGGACATCTGACATGGCAGTTGTTTCTGGGTGATTTGAAGCACTCGTTATTCTTGCCCAAAAACTGAGTCTCTTCACAAAGCTCTAACCTGACTGCTGCCCCAACAGCGACATCAATCCATGACTCTATGAAGATACTTGGGGTCCCAGTCACTTTTGATAGATGTTATCATCATTCACATTCATTACTAGAACGATCCTGCAGAATAATACAAGAATCCAAGAACTCCACAATCAAACAACAGCGAAGCGCTCCCAGATGATCGTCTACCATTCAACTACTGGACTGATTATCTTTGCAGAAGGGTTTCGAGGGAGTTAGCTCCTAATTACATTGAGGATGTGGTCTGCACACATTGCTGGGAAATATTCGAGGGTTAGACTCCCTTGAGCCTTGTGCAGCTCTTGCAGAGGCAGACTCTTTATTGGCATAGCCATATTGACGATAATTTCCTTTCCTTTCTCGTGTTATATTTGCGTATCAAACGCATTGTAGATAGAACTTTGCATACTTTACGTGACTTCGAAATTGTAAACGCGGTTTGGATACCGATGCATGGAACTCGGAAGGAAGGACACAAAGCTCGGTAATCTGCAGCTCTGCTCACTCGGTGTCGGAATCGGACGATTCTTTCAAACCTTTCAACTCTACAGAACAACGAGTGTGCAGTGTTCTTGCTACAACAGTGGTTATTTTGCACCTCTACGGATTATGGAGTTCCGATGATACGGTGTGGGTTAGGAACACCATTATCAGACTCGACTCAATTCAGCACTTAGCAATCACCACCACCACCACCACAACGAATAGGCAAGTCATACAATCAGATACCTAGGTAATGTAACACCAAAATCCCTCCCAATTTTTTGTTTCCTCGTCGTCTTATACTTTTCAATTGTTTCAGGATTCTCATCATTATTTTCATTCAAAATCATTTCATCATTCAATTCAACTCAACTTTTCTCTCTTAAAGTCTTTTTGTGTCGCATTGTATGGTTTAATGCCAATCCATCGACTCACTTCTCGCTAAGCCTAAAGAAGCGCGCCACTTTAGCAAAATCATCGACATTCCCTCAATTATGCCTTCAACTCCACAACCAAAAGAACACCCTCCTGCTCGAGATGCGATCGCGCTCGAGATGAAAGACAGCTGGAGCCCCGGTGACGATCGCAGAGATAGAGGTAGAGTCGACCGAGGAGTTATTGAAAGACGGTCGAGAAGATCAAGGTCTCCCACGTCACGTCGACCGGACGCCGACAGGACACCCAATACCAGAGATCGCAGTACTGATAGGTCCAGGCCAACACAAGAAATTGAAAAGCCAGATCGTAGTCCAGACCGCAGAAGGCTATCTTCTCCCCGGCCGTCAAAAGATACACAAGAAGACGTGTTGAAGCGCAATCAAGGCAGGGAACTACTATTGGAAACGCGAGGCTCAGAAATAGTAAGAGGAAATACAGCCCATTCCCCTCAACAATTAAAACGAAGAAAGAGTCGCAGCCCATCGCCGAGTCGCAACCAACAAAAGAAAATTCGAAGGAATTCTCGCAGTCCAGTACGGCACAACGGAGCTACGAAAGGGTCCCGGCGAGATAGGAAGCGACGAAACCGGTCTACATCACAACATCGACATCGACAACCGGAACCAAACAGAAACAATCAACGCGAGGAAGGAAACCCAAGAAATCGTAGAGATTTTGGAAAAAACGATAAGCGTGGGCGATCTCCTGGCCAAAACCGCGATAAATTTGAAAAGTCTCGTCCTTCATCAGCCTTGGACTACGACGATCCACCAACGAACCGTAATAAATCCCCCAACAAAATTGTCGAGCTAGAACAAAAAGAAGGAGGAAATCCAGCACCAAATCTATCTGAAAATAAGGAAAGGAAGCGAGAGGCTTCCCCATACTCGAGCCATCGATCGCCAGAGGCAGATACATACGAACATAAAAATCGCGGTCGTCGTCAATCTCCTCGTGCGCCAAAAGGGCCAAAGGGAAATCGGAGACGGTCCCCAAAGCGAGAAAAGGGACGGCCCTCACGAGACGAATATCGCCCCAATAATAAATCTCGAGGTCGACCTACATCGGCAGCTTCAGGAGCGAATAGCATTGAGGTCAAATCGGATAAGATGGCTAACAGAGGATTCTATGGTAATCAGCAAGGGTACAATCCAAACCAACAAATGCAGGCTGCATTTCCTCTAAAACCACAATTCAATCAAGTTCCTCAAGGGCCGCAAGCTGATCCACGACAATTTTCACAATCTCCACAACATCAAATGACCCCAAATTCATATCATGGTTCACCTCAGGCACAATCACCTTATTCTTCTGGGCGGGGAAATTGGAATGGCTCACAGCAACAACAGTTTTCACCTTCTTCGTAAGTTTTATTGTGTTAGGACTAATAATTTTGTAATCTGACGAGACTTGCAGGCAATTTCAACAAAACTACCAGCAACAACCGGGATATGCTACTCCCACTGGCCCTCAAAGCCAAATGTATGGCAACCAAGCCCAATCTCCTTCTCACCAAGGGCCTCCTACGGGGCCAATGAACAATAATTTCCGAGGCAACCAACGGAATTTTAGAGCGAACAATTTCAACCCCCGAGGCAATCGTGGCAACCAGTTCAATCCTCAATGGAATCCTCCTTCTGGCCCCTCCGGCGCCAGTCGCGCCCAGTTTACCAATTCTGGTAATGTTACACCTCAGCAAATGTCACCGCAACAACAGTTCCCACAGCAGAATTCATTTGATTCGGGTGCAATATCAATGCAGGATCAGGTGGACGAAAGCGAAGACTTATTTAGACCCTCAAAAGACCTTCAGGCTGAGGATACTAGCAAAAAGAATGATGAACAAATGCTCCCTCCTAGTCGACCACCGCCAACAGGGCCTCAAAGTCAACAGAACTCCTCAAAGTTTAGTTTTGCTTTCAAAGGTCCAGCTAAAGCGGCAACTACTCCAAAGCCAGAAATTTCTCAAAAGCTTAATGCTGTACCAATCAAGCGAGATATGCAAAATAGCCCTCGTGGCCCTGCAGCGACACGGAATATCCCTACAGAGCCAGCATCTGCAAGAGCGCAACACGCATTCCGCGAACCACCGCCTCCTGTCACGCGTAAGGTTAAGAAAATTATGCAACGTCTGAAGCCAAAGCCACAATTATTGCCCGAATATAAGGCATCAGATTCTGTGTACTATCGAAAACCTGGTAATGAATCTGTGGTTGGATCTGGAACTTACGGTAAAGTGTTCAAAGCTATCCATGTCTACACCAAGAAGTTGGTCGCTCTGAAGAAGATACGTATGGAAGGAGAACGCGACGGGTTTCCTGTGACTGCTGTTCGAGAAATCAAATTGCTACAGTCCTTGAACCACCCAAATATTGTCACCTTACAAGAGGTAATGGTGGAGAAGAATGATTGCTTTATGGTTTTCGAGTATCTATCACACGATCTCACGGGCTTGCTCAACCACCCATCCTTCAAGTTAGACGCAGCTCACAAAAAGCACCTTGCTAAGCAGCTTTTCGAGGTCTTGATTACCTCCATCGACGAGGTGTTTTACACCGGGACATCAAAGCAGCAAACATCCTTGTTAGTGATGAAGGGCAACTGAAATTAGCAGATTTTGGGCTGGCTCGATTTTACGCAAAGCGAAGACAGCTGGACTATACCAATCGTGTTATCACCATCTGGTATCGTTCACCAGAACTTCTCCTTGGAGAGACACAATATGGTCCTGCAGTGGATATTTGGAGCGCAGCCTGTGTCTTGGTTGAAATTTTCACTCGCCACGCAATTTTCCCTGGAGACGGTGGTGAAATCAGTCAACTGGAGAAAATTTATGCTGTGCTCGGAACACCAAATCGAAATGATTGGCCTGGCTTAGTAGACATGGCATGGTTCGAACTTCTTAGACCTTCTGCTAAACGATCCAATGTCTTTGCAGAAAAATACAAGGAACGCGTTACACCTGCCGCGTTTGAACTCCTAGATGCCATGTTTCAATATGACCCTGCCAAGCGACCTTCTGCTTCTGATGTTCTTGAGCACCCATATTTCACGACGGAAGAGCCAACTGCAAGACAGGCTATTGAGTATGTTATATCCTTGCTTACAATCTCCTTTTACAGGTGATCATTAGCTAACACCATGAAATAGACTCAAAGAACTTAAAGGTGACTGGCATGAATTCGAATCCAAAGCGTTGCGTAAAGAGAATGAACGCAAGGATAAAGAGGCACGAAGGGCAGCCCAAAAGGAAAAGGAGAAGAAAAGAACTGCAGAAAGTGAAGCCTGTTCTGAAAGAGACTCAAAGCGAGTAATGATGGCACCCCCAGATATACCACCGCCATCTGCTATACCTAAAACCCAGGAAGTCACTGCTTCGAGCAACTAGACCGCTTCCACTGCGCCTCCCACATAGTAGGGATGAGAAAGTTCACAAAAAGTCGCTTGCAGGATTGTACATTTGGAAGGAGCGCTTTTGGCATTCAGGAACCAGGTGGGATAAAGCTTTTGTAAGATTATTTATATTCATAACTTAATGGTACACGAAATGCTCTTATGGGATGAATTTCAGATGAGAAGTCTAGGGGATGAAGGTGGAGTAGGAGCGGGCGTTCGGTGGTGACGAACGGGTAGGAGAAATCCATAATTATCTTCATAACATTGCGCTATGCATTAGGAAAGCGAATTGAATGTCTCTTTCCAATTTTGTTACTCTCTTTGGGAAGGGGATGAGTTGTAGATGAAGATGGAGATTTCTTGTAGTATAGGTGCGAATGCGACTATATTCAGATGTTTTGTCTTGCAGTGCTTCATATTTGATGTGAGTGACATGTGAGATGACATGATGCCACTTCGAATCCTTATCTGTTTTATCACAAACAATAATATCATGTTAAATTTGGTTTGAGTAAATCAGTACATTTAGCACTTCACGGTTTTTAGATACATAGTATCTTTCCATTTTTCCATCTTGTCTCTCCCTTCTTTCGCTAATTACAATCGTGTCAACTCTATTCCATCCTGTGTTTTGTCGATCCCACCCTTTTTATGCTCATTCTTTTTTCATTGCTTCTCTTTTTTCTTTCGTTCCATCTAGCCTTAAGCTTCCTAAGCTCTTGCTATTGCACAGGTTCTACTAATTGCATTATCCTTCCTTCTCTTGCCTCTTACCATTTCTTTCCACTTTGCCTTGTTTCCGTTCTATACTGTCGGGTATGGATATATAGATGATCTTATAGTTCCCCAGAGTATAACGAGGACAGAGTTGGAGCGATAATCTCATTTAGGTCTCTTCCTATTTACTATTATAGTCTAGCAAAAAAGAAATAGCAACCAGGTAGCTAAAGGAAGCGAAGAGAACGAGCGAGCTTCGGGAAGAGTGAGGAAGAAAAGGGGGTGACTTGAAGAAAGAAACGATGAGAAAAGAGTTAGCAGAGTATACATTTGAGAAGCGAAAACTTGGCCGGGGAACAATGATGTATCATCTACGAGTATGTTCTTTTATATATTGACGTATCGATCGAAATATTCGAGGAATTACGATCTAAGAGATTGAAAGGTAGAGAGTCGAGCTATCTATCTACTTCTGATTTGATATATATCCTCTAGTAAAATGGACTCGGATTTAAAACATGCAAGATTATCAAACGCAATACAAGCAAGCAAACAAAGTCGTTTGGCCTCCGCAGTCGTCTAGGTGATTGCGGATGAAACCAGAACATGGAAGTTTCTAGTCGTACAAACAACATGTACATGAATTTCACAAAATTACTCATATCGGCCGGGTATCTCCTATATTTCAAAGACAAGTTTGATTCCTCGAGATATCAATCCTCGAATATTGATTGACCCGAGACTTCACCTACACAGAAAACGCCTTACATGAATCAAAAACTCAACATGTCGCATCGACGTACCAACAAATCGACGACAGCCGACATCATCACATCTCCAATATTTGCCTCTGGGACATTCAAAAACGTTTGGGTGCGTAATCATCTTGCTAGTACCCACTTCCCTTTCCAATCCCAATGCTAACCTCCCACCAGGCAGGTCACTACACCTCAGGCGACCGCAAAGGCCAACCCTGCGTATCCAAAGAATTCAAAAGCGGCTCGGTATACGAAAAACACTATTTCTCCGAAGAGCTGGAGATCATCCGCCGCACGCAGGAAATCGTCAATGATTTCCACACGGCGGGGATTATTCCCGGACGAGAAGTCATCGTCAATACGCCTGCGATCTGGAGGTATGAGGATAGTGCGGGGGGAAAAGCTGGACATAGAAGTTTGGTTGAACCCATGATTGAGAATTTCGAAAAGTTTAATAGTAATACGGGGTGGACAGGTCAGGATAATGTGTGGAATGAGGCGATGCAGGCATTGAGTCATTTTTCCTATCATGATTCTGGGAGACGCTTTTTGTTGTGTGATTTGCAGGGGGGTTTGTATAGTGATGGGTAGTAAGTATCTTTCTCTACTGTTGACAGTTTATTCTTTGCTCGTCTGTCTGAGTAAAAATTATATCAACGGGTATGAAATTCTCCTAACACTACATCTAATTAGCATTCTCTCAGACCCAGTCATCATGTCCCAAGCACACAATTGCGGGCCCGCGGATCTGGGAAACGATGGAATCAAATCGTTCTTTGAGAGACATCGCTGTGGGCAATTTTGTGATCAGAATTGGGTGAAGCCTGCGCTCACAGGAAGGGCTCCTATCCCCATGCGCCGAGGAACTACAATGGAGTGTCCCCCGACTCGTCATGATCGTAATCCTCTGTCTAGATTGAGAGAGAATTAGTGATGGCATTGGTGATTGGGACTGTGATGAGAATTGAATGGTCAGTAATTCTTTTGTTCAGAGATTGCTCGACGTTCTGGGTTTCATGCAAGATACGAGGTGGTATAGTAGTTGTGCTTGGAGAATCACGATTGGCCGAGAGAAACAAGGCTTAGAAAGCAAGCTATCTCCATTCTGGAGCTGCAGCAAAGAATTGAAAGAACATTGCACATTTGTACCTCCTTGATGAACGTAAAATACTGTTTCAGGACAATTGGAAACAAATGATAAGATACGAGAAGAAAGTCTCCTTTCGAGATCTGAGGTGGATATAGCAGGGGTCTAGAGTAATGACAAGATGTCAGGCCACATAAGATCTCTGTACTGTAGCAGCTTATCTTGCTGTTGATGGTCGTTGGGGGCGTGAATATAAGAATCTGATAATGGGTGGGTAAGCCTGTTAACAAGTAACAGCTCCGCCCCACCACGCCGGATAAATCCCATGTCGTATGTAAGCTAAGGAAGAAGTGAAAATAGATGTAATTCTGGTTGCGTCACAGCAGTAGGAAAAATACGAAATGAATGAATGAATGCCCAGGAGATATTGCGGCACATCGAAGGAATGTAAAAGCTTGACACTCTTTTAAGCGTCAGATCAGCAAGTGTACGAATAAATTCTTCCCCTCTTCCCAAAAAATAAAGGAGAAGAGAGATTATCTTACAACTATCAACAAGCCGACAGACAATCGGCAATCAGTTTCAGATTCACGCCGGAAGAGATAAACTATAAACAAAGTTCACCCTGCATGAAGAACACTGGGTCTATCGTGCTTGATCGACCGGCACACATTGCATAACCCTGGCGCGAAGTACCCAGTACCTTGCTGTGATGAGCACACTAATCACTTCACCTACAGAAATCAATACCGTATAAGCGCCCATCCATAATTTGAGCAACTCGCTGTTTTCACCTCCATGTGCTATCTACAAGAGAGCGGTTGTATTTGCCAGGGTGGTGGGGGTGATTATCCTGAAGGGGAGTCCGCACCGAGTACTACTCTATACCTAGTAGTTCATTGTTAGATTCGGCTAAACCAATCATCTGAATTTAACCGGTCATTGTGTCCCGACACCTTGGTACCGAAGTCTGCGGCACCTCGCAACGGTCCGTATGAGTAAGAAAACTTTAAAATATACTTTCCTTCACGGTTGAAAATAAGTGCGTTGTTAAATCTTGAACTCTTTTCAAATCGAAGAACAATAATGACATTGCCGTAACGGAATTATCATTATGAACTTTTTTTAAGGAAAAATATTGTTTTGTTCTGATAGAAAAATCTGATTAAGGTGTACAATTTTGATGTTCGAGTTCTTGTGAGCCCTGCGAGAGTACCTCGGCACTGATGACATTTGGTGAACAGACCAACGGTTGGCTATGTGTTTCAGGAAGAACACATTGTTGCAATTCAGATTGTTGTAGACTCTGCGGATAAACTGGACCCCTGTTGCTCATCTCTTAAGGCAATGGGCCACATACATCATCGAAGAAATACTACATGATCATCCTCAATTCTATTTGAGGGTTATTTCACAATGCACCTTATCGGCCTCGATATAGCGCTTATTCAGTGTATAGACCCCTCACAGTCATAATCTCTTAGAATAGCATCAACGGCACAACTGTTAGTATCATCTCTATTGTTGATCGTGAAATTTTTCAACCCTGAGGTCACACCAACCGGAACAGTTGTTGGGGGCTCGGTAGGGGGCGATGATAAGCATGGTACTCCAGAACCCCTTGGAACATGTGAATATATCTCTTCCATAAGCTCCATATGCTTGTGTTTCCTTCACTTGAATTCATCACACAATATTCGCTTCGTTCCTTTCATTTTCTCAGTTTTCCGCCATGTTACGCCAAACATCTTTCCATTCTCATACCTCTCTTTTGTTCACTGCTGTTGTTTTCGTCCTTCTATTCATCGTAGTCAAATATGACTATTTCGTCGACTTCAGCTTCAGTGCCCCTTCTGTTTATCATGAAAGCTGCAATGCAGTGCCGATACCTACCGAGTCGTCCAGCTCTCAAGTAATTACCTCCGCACCAATATCAACACCTACAGCTGCTGCTTTCCCCGAAAAGATATGGTACAAAGTCGGACCTCAAGGCGTATCCACCGAGGCTGAGAACTTTAGAAATCACTGCCTTGATCTTAGCCCTTCATACGAATATGAAATACTTGACGATGAGGCGGCGAGCGAATACGTCTACAAATGGTTCTCGGATCGACCAGACATCATCACCACATACTTCTCACTCAACGTGCCGATTCTAAGAGCGGACCTGCTGAGATACTTGATCCTGTGGGCCGAGGGTGGAATGTGGATGGATTTAGACGTTTCATGCGGCGAAGTACCGATACATCGATGGGTCTTGAAAGAATATCGAGAAGCCGCAAACCTTGTCGTCGGCTTGGAATTTGACTGGCCATGGGAGAATGACAATTTCCTACACGCCCAGTTCACGAGCTGGACGATAATGGCAAAGCCTCAATCTCCCCACATGATGCAGGTTATCGACGATATCTTGGTGGGTGTCGATGAGGTAGCACGACAACACAATGTCTCGCTCGATGGGATAAAAATGGGTATGATTCCTCAGGTGGTAGATCTCACGGGTCCAAAGAGGATGACATGGAGTATTGTAAAGAGCTTGAATCGTATCCTCGAAAGGGAGCTCGACGACCGGGATATTACAGGACTGAGAAGTGCGAAGCTCGTTCACGATGTGCTGATATTACCGGGAAATGCGTTTGCTGCTAGTCAGAGTAACTTTCCCAAGGATCAAGGGCCAGTTCTGGTAACCCATCATTATGCGGGAACATGGAAAAATAAGCTGGGTGGGGAGGAAGGGAAGCCGGCGGTATGAACTGGTTTTTCATATCATGCTTTGGAAGCGAAAAACAAGTATATAATAAAGCGGTAATTCGCGGAAGAGGACGGAGGATGAAGATCATAGAGAGAACCACTAAGACCTTCAATCATACGGAGAAGGAGCTGGAATCTCCGAGGATATCTCCAGCAGGAATATTGACCCTCATATCGAGAGAGGGACCTTCAGCTACAAGAAAGAAGGTAGCACTATAACCTTCTTCCTACTCTCGCAATTAATTACCTATGCGAGATGGGTATTGATGTGGGTCAAGATTTCTCTGAGGGAGCCCCAGCAGGTAGAGCTTGAACATTAGATATTTCCTTGAGTTTCACTGTACCAAAATGTAGAAGTACTGATTCGTTTTCTCTCTGTTCAAATCGAAGACGCCTAAAGGCTACGCTTTTATGAATGTATTTATATCTGTGAGACCGAAATCATCGTGATGTGGTCTGTCAGATAAGCGCAAGCCACACAGGCGGCGCAAAACAATGCAGGGGTTACAGATCACATGGGTAGTGGCAAATGTCAAATGGAGCCTGTACTGAGATAGACGTAAAGAATAGTATTTGAATCAATAGATATAACAAATGAAATGCATATTATTCATATACAGCTTGTTCATTGACGAGTAGTAATCCAAAATAATGATCGTAATTAGTCACATGACTCTCTTCCTGCCAAAGGTTCCGTCAGGCCTTGTAGATCGTAACAATAAGCTAAGTTCCTAACTTCATACAGATCACCCCAACCCAATCATCAGCCATATAATCATCTACTTAAGAGAGACTTCGGTAAGATAAACGTCATCGTTGGCATTGAAGTTGATTTCTCTGAGAACGATAGATCCATCTGCGCGAGTGGCCTGGATTCAAATCCGCTTACTGAGGAAAATGGTAGCTTCATAGAGTGGAACAGTATATCCCTGCGTGCGCGAGGTCTCCTCGTACTCGGTAAGGGAGGTCGAAGTGGTCGAAGCAAATTGATAGTTGAGACTAACATCCATGCCGAAACCCTTGTTACCGTACGAGGCAGAGATGGCAACTCCCGCGGAGTGTGTCAACTCCTTATAAAGCGTCCTGCTGATAACTTTTGGGATTCGGTAAGGCGAGAACTTGTGCGAGGCCACTGCTGGGCTCAGTCCAGCCATCATTGGCGCGAAAAGTCTCAGATGAGATCGAAATTTTTTCTCCGCCATTCACACCAGTAGAAGGGGGCCCAATGACCCACACAGAACAATCGTACTTAGCTCCTGTCTTCTGATCATCCCAAATCTTGGCACTGAAGTGATTCGAGGTTTGAGCTAAATCAGCACGAACACACCAAATCTTATCAGTGCTAGGGGCGCTCCAAGATCCTGAACATACATCTCCAAGTGAAACGTACCCACTGGGTGCTCTGGGTCTCCAGAAAGATCCGTCATAACTGGCTCCGCTCTTCTCATCACGCCAAATTTGATCGTATCCGGTGGGGCTAGCGACTGCTGCTTTGCCAGTAGAACTTGGGCTGTTCCCAACAAGGAGGGTCGCGAACTTGCCATTTTTGTCACCATAGGAAGAAAACCCAATAGATCCTAGAGGGCGCAAGTTTCCCTGAGATTTCGGATGGTAAGCTTCAAAGTCCTTCGAAGCTCCACTACCCTTATCGTTCCATACCCAGTCAAAGGCTGAGGTCATAGTGACTCTGAGATCACCATAGTCTTCTGTTGCGTTTTCCATGCTGGTTTGCTGAGGTAATAGGTGAAGGAAAAAGATGTTTTCGAAATTTAGTATATGAGATATGGTGAAGAATCGAGTGAGAGGAGGAGAATGATGCACTTATTATACTTTTTTTTGTAAGTCTGAGAGTGTCGATCTTGCTATTCATCTGATATTGACATGATGCAAGAAGCGCTGTCCAGCTCAGCTATCCACAAGGACTTCCTTGCTTGTACGATAGTGGTACAACCTGCAGAGCAGATCGCCCATGACCTGTATATATGATGTGCCAATAAATTATGGGTGCGATAGAATACACAGCAGTGTGCATGGCCACAGAAAGATACCGTCACCACTACGATATGCAAAGTTGTGAGTTCTAATATACGCAAAATGAAACAAGCCAAACCACAAATATCATGAACTGAAAATTACTCTTTACTGTCCAATTACAGCTGAAGAGTTATTCTGCATCGTGCTACAAACGATCAATGGCGTCGTAATTGTGAAACATGAAGAGAGGAGAATATGCCGTTGAGATAAATGGTGTGAAGTATACTGATCTTGTGAGTCCAGAAACCTCTACATTGAAACAGTTCACAACCCTCGTATCCAAAGCGCATTCTTTTGGAAGCCACTGCATTCTTTTCAACTAGAGGTAAATTGCAGTTCTGAGCTGCACTGCCGATTAAATCATTCGATAGATTGATCGTGGTCAGTCTATCGACCAAATTCCTGCTCCAAGTTAAGCCAAATGCATGAGCGTCGATGCTAAGACTGTTGAGAGTAACTTCCAGGTGCATATGGAATAGAACGGAGGGTTTTGTGGCTGGCTGAATGGTGTCGAGAGGTTTCAATAAGGTTAGGGCCCTTAAGAATCAGTGACGGCGCACGTCATTTTGATGTCATATATAGTACAGAAATGGTTCTTGGCTTCCAGTAGAAATTGTGTTATGTGCTAAACCTGTATAAGAGACCCAATTTGTGTCAAGACAATCGCAAACCTTTGCTTGCCAACCTCTCCAAGCTTAGTCTCATCGGCACCTTATGCCCCTCTATCATACTTCCTGTCGGCTCCACCGCTCAGCTGGCTCGCATTTGGGGCTATCTTCAAGGTGATACAAATCATCAAATCAAGGTTCAGAGATGTGATACAATGCAAGAAGGGGTTTCCCGATCTGGTCTGAGTGCTTGAATTGCGCATCGAAGTTAAAACTTTTGAGAAGATCGCAACATCCCAAATGCGTATGAAGCATCTTGCATATAGGCAGGTGAGAGCGTGCAGTGGAAGAAATCATGGATGACGGAGTTCAATATGTGATTGGGAGTTCTGAGTGCTCTCCTCGTACCAATACGTTGAGGTGCAGTCAGCCACTGATCTACCAAAAGCTGTAAATATGTACATCTATGAAAAAAGAGTGACGCGTTGATGCAAGCGTTTAAATCATGTGAGTAGTGAGTGTTGAGCATAAGTATGCGTATATCTTTTCCTTTTTAGGCTAGATGCCTACTTTCAGTTGGACGCTTAACAGCGATTTTTGACGCCACATAGCAATGGGATGTAAGTGCCCTTCAGGTGCCTCAGGCACGACTATGTACATTGTTGTTAAATTCCATTGAAGGCTTTCAACATAATCTAACCTACCTAGTACCTACCCTATCATCAAAATACGCTTTCCATGTATGAGTGAGTCCCGTTTACCAAGAATTTGTGGTTTCCATTGTGGATATCTTATATATCAAGAAGTATAGGGGCTTTAGTAGGGATTGGACGCGCTGCTCCATAATCCGTGAACTACTAGACGCCATCCACTTAGCAAATTGCAAATGCAGGTACAGATAGGAACGGAAAGTGCACAAGAGGCTTGGATGTAATGAGATGGAAGATGGAGGATGGAATTTGGAAGGATAAGGGGGTTCATGAATCATGATCGAGGTTTCATTACCTAGAGATGACGCCGAGTAACTCTAATTGACTCAACAGTTCGTAGATTACTTGATGCTGCTAATCAAATGCTTCGTAACGGTGTCTGGGCAGAGAACCGACGGGTATGGTTCTGGTATCGGTAAACACTGGTAAGGGCATGATATAAACTTCACGATTCAATATGCAGGCCGCCCACAGATCATGAGTCTGTTCTTGATCGAACACATGATATCTCTGATCGAGAGAAACAAGAGGCATTTGACAAATAGGATCCATCAATTCCTATCCAGCGTGGGTAAAATACGAGAACGACAAATAAATCAGGATGCCGAATGGCTTTACATGAGGATCTTGATTCTTGTACTCGGTAAGAATCCAGGAGCCAGGTATATTTTTCTTTCCAAAGTGGAGTTTCAGAGTTACCTACACCTGCCTATATGCAGTATTCCGTACCAAATGCCAAGGAAAGACGATCGGACGCTTTCAACTCTATATTATCTCCTGCGCCTCCAGAGGACAAGTTCCACATCAAAGTTCTATCGTCATTCCTATCTCCTAGCTAGTATCGTCTTGCAGCGTCATCAATTTCTTCCAGTCATGAAATCAGTGTCGAAAGCTGCAAAAGGATTAGATATCAGATGTAGTAGAAGTAGAACTGTTTTCTGATTTGGAGAATGGATCTCATCAAAAGGTTCATGAGAGACAGAGAGACAGAGAGACAGACAGACTGACCGACCGACCGACAGACAGCAACAAAATCAGCAAAATCAGCATAATCAGCACTGAGCAGTCAGCGAATTTGAATTGATCCTCTTGTGATGGAATGAATGGGAATGGGAATGGGAATGGATATGGATTGAGCGAGCGGCAAATGATTTCCGCTTATATATCCTTGTATATCTTCATTTCCTTGGATGAATGCTAAAATACGATTGGTCCTCCCCTTGCTTATCAATTGGATCTCACCAGATTAGGCATTATATCCGTTTAAATGTCAATATGCCAATTCTCCAAAACCCTCCTCAAGAATTGATATTCCGTGAATTTCCCCTTAAATCTGAAACACAATCTACTGCTTTGGGAAATTCAAATTAAATTTCTACCATGATCTTCCAATCCACCCTTCACTCTACCACACATTCCATCCACATTCACCCAAATTCCATGGGTACACCCACTACGAACACGATGGTACGGAAGCAATGGAAGTATCACTCGCACATGCACGTTCCCTTAAATTGAATTGATTGGCGTTGCATTGGGATCTTGATCATTTGCAACCTTTCCCCATTTCTATCTTCATCCGAGCAGCACAAAGAGGACGAGGACGAGGGAAGCAGAGTTTACCGTAACCGTTTATCAAATCTCCACTTTCTTTAATGTCATCCCTCTCTTCCTTCCTCATCCCAATCTCAACCTCTTAATCCTTTGCTTTGACTTTTTGAGTATCACTCACTCACCCTCCCTCCCTCACCCTCCCTCACTCTCACTTTTGGATCTTTCGATTGTGCAGTTCTTGCACCTTACTTTCCTTCAACAACTACTCACCCTCGTTCGCCTTGACCGGCGCAGTCACTCTTTAGAAACCGAATCATCAAAGTTGAATTCGCAATATCAAATCAATCGCATCTAATTAATTACCATCACCCTTCTTCACGAAGTACAATACAACTTTCATTTAAAAACAAAAATCATACACACATACGATTCGTCACAGAGAAGAAGAAGAAGAAGAAGAAGAAGAAAAAAGAAACAATGCAGTTCAATTCCCTGGTTCTCCTAGCAGGAGCAGCCATCCTCTCACCATTCGTTCAAGCTCAAACTTGGACCACTTGCAATCCTCTCAATACAACATGTCCCAATGATCCAGCTTTGGGTACAAACCATACTTTCGTTTTCAACACATCATCCACAGTCGATGATTACTTCAACATCACAGCCGGGTCTCTCTCATATGGCGATGATGGTGCCGAATTCATTATCGCCGAACAAGGACAATCACCCACCATCCAATCCAAGTTCTACATCTTTTTCGGCCAGGTATCCGTGATCATGAAGGCTGCAACTGGGGTAGGAATTGTATCAAGTATCGTTTTGGAAAGTGAGGATCTAGACGAAATAGATTGGGAATTTATTGGAGGTAACACCACTCACGCCGAGACCAATTATTTTGGAAAAGGAAATACTACCTCCTATGATCGGGCCATCTGGTACCCAACACCTACCGATCCAACAGCAAACTTTCACAACTACACCGTCGACTGGACTGCCGAGAGAATTCAATGGTGGATTGACGATAGTCTTGTTCGAACCCTCGCATATGCTGATGCGGTTGATGGCAAGAACTTCCCTCAAACCCCAATGACAGTTCGATTGGGAATCTGGTCCGGTGGTGATCCAAAGGGTAACAGTGTGGGAACAATCGAATGGGCTGGTGGAGAGACCGATTTTACCAAGGTTCCATTTACGATGTACGTGAAGAGTGCAGCAGTTCAAGACTACAGCACTGGTTCAGAATATCAATGGACTGATAAAACTGGAGACTGGACATCCATTAAAGTTATCAGGTATGTTACTTATCTTCCCGTGATATCACGAAAAGCGCGCTAATAAATCAAAAAGTGGTAACTCGACCGTCGCAGAGACTATCACCAAGAATGAAACCCCCACACTCTCCATCGGTGAAAAATGGGACAACCTTCCTAAGACCACCAAACTCGCAGTCTACTGTGGAGGTGGTGCCGCAGTCGCCGCTCTCGTATCCGCCTTCCTCTTCACCTTCCTCCGTCAACGTCGCAATGGCCGTCTAGAACGTGAAGCCTACAACCAATTGATTGAGAAGCAACAACAAGACGCCTACAAAGACCAAATGGAATTGCACAACAAGGGTCTCGGCGGTTTCGATAACAACTCATATGCAACCCAAGGAGATGACGCACTCGGAGGCTGGGGTAACAACCAAGGAACTGGATACGTCGGACCTAGTGGAAGCGCGAGCGCAATGGCTAGTGGAAGTCCGATGGTACAGGCTGGCCAACATGGGCCCATGAGTCCGACAATGGTTATGCGAAATGGGGAGATGAGTCCTCATAGT